CCCTCTTTGGAAATAACATAGTTCTATTAGACAACCCCATAGGCAGTTCATAGCTCAACAACTAACCACAATATCCCCTAAGAGCGACAACAAACAATTAAATAGGCTAAAGGCGAGCAATTTAGCTATAAACAATATATATAAATAATCTCCAAGTCATTCCTAACTTAGGGTTGTTCTTAACATATTATGAGTCCCTAAAATGAGGGTTTATAACCACTCAATCAGCCAACCACTCACAATTACATCTACAAGATCACCAATGTAAACTACCTCTAAGGAAACATGTCGACGAAGTGAATAACCTTAAAATACCTTTCTAATGAATGCTCGAAAGACCGTAGTTCCTTCACGAAAGTTGTTCCTTATGTCCTAAGCTTCGCAAATATTATATATACACAGCTGGTACGCATCTATAAACAATTCATAATTAATCTTAAATCGGCAGATTTGCCATATTGCCCAAACTCGTCGAAACGTGCGTAGAAATTCATAAAAACAATCATAAAAGAGTCGCAAGATGATTACCTTAGTTAACCAAGTTTAAACCTTGAAGAAACACCAATAATTACAAATTTATATCTTCAAAAACCAGCTCCAAACGCAGCTAATAGAAGGGAAAAACGATTGCCACATGTAAGGATTACGTTTCTAGGCATGGGGGCAATGTTTAATGGTAGAAATCGTCAAAAATTAACATTCATCATGCTAGAACTCCATAGGACCCCTCTCTTAAGCTTTCTCTCTGGTTTGGAACTGAAATGAAATGTTTTCATGACTTAAACGTTAAATAAGCCGACATACCATATTTTTGACCCGACCCGCATCCGACCCGGATTCTGCCCCGACAGTCCCTAGTAAAATCCTCACAACTTTTTACTCTGATGTCGGTTTGATATGGGGTTTTGTGCGTTACAAACTAGACTCGTAGGCCTTCGATTTAATGGGTAATAGGCCTTTTAACTCTTTATATATTGGGAGAAAACATCCAATACATTTGACCCAAATTTCAAAGAAATCTTTAAAAAGGAACTTACGATAACTTTCGCCAACTTTTATTTTGCCACTTACTTAACTTCAAAACTTGAGATACAATCCTTGAACATTTAAAATATGACATACCACATCATTCTTAATTTATGACCCACCCTCCTTGTCTTTCCACGAAGATACGAGTTAATTTAGACGTTTTAAAAAGTCGGGGTGTTACAGCTTTGATCATGCTCATAAGGTTTTTGTTTTTGGGAGAGAAATGGAGGTGGAGCTTCGCTTTTGGTTTTTGCTAAAGCATTTGATTTTGTAAATTTTAATTCGTGCTATCAAAAAAAAAAAAGGTGAATTACTTTGTTTCCCTTTAACAGCATGGTAGCAAAGAATCAAAAAGATTACTTAGTCCTTAGAAAGGGTGATAGAGGTCTTTGTAAGGACCGCAAGGTTATTCTGAGTGAGAAGCTTACATCCCAAGTTTTCAGTGATGGAATTGTAATATATCAGGTAATTGTTAAAATAACATGTATTAACACAAAGGGGTGGTGACCTCATAAAATCAATTTGTGGAGATACAAAATTGATCAATTAGTAGACGACTTTATCACTCAAATGGCTCTTTTATCAATTCAAATTCTTTTCAATTAAAGAAATGTTAATTGTGTTGGACAAATTATTTTTACTTGATGTCCTGTCATTTTAATTATCCATGTAGAAAATTTTGAGTTAAATAACATGTATTAACACTAAGGAATGTTAACCTCATAAAAGCAATTTAATTTGTGAAGATACAGAATTGATCAATTAGTAGAAGACTTTATCATTCAAATAGCTCTTTGATTAATTCAAATTCTTTTCAATTAAATAAATGCTACTTGTGCTTGACTAATTCTTTGTACTTTCAATTATCCATCTTATAAATTAATTAAGCAAACATCCAACGTAATCCTTGAACAAATCAAATGGAATTGAGTTGACAACTTGAGTTTCCAACACTATAAATACCACCATTTCAATTATTTGTTTCGTCACCAAGAAATCAACAAAAAATAAGAGCTATGGCGAAGTACACTACTTTTCTCGCCCTCCTCTTTTGCCTCTTCCTTGTTGCTGCAACTGGTGAGTCGACGTGATTCTATAGCTACCAAATATAATGATTTGTTTAAGATTACAAATTTTTAAAATGTTTGTTTTTTATTAAACTTTGTACATAACATGAGTTCAATTTTCTCATTATTGCAGAAATACAAATGGCAGAAGGCAAATATTGTTGGAAAAAAAGTGACAAGTGGAATGGACCATGTCAATACTCTTACAAATGTAGTTATCATTGCAAACACTACTATGGAGCTAAATATGGTATTTGCAAGAAGTACAAACCATGGGGCCACAAATATTACTGGGCAAAATATGCATGTTACTGTTACTCACCTTGCCACTACTAAGAAACTTTCTATTTCTCATGGCTTGGCTTTCATTATGTAAAATAATATGAAGCTAGCTACTACTTTATGTGTGTAACAATATATGTAATAAGGCTGATTTATGTGTAATTATTTTGGCCAAGCTTTGCGTGATGAGTAAGTGTATTGTATACCGTTCTATTAATATTAATTGCCAGCGAGGTACTTTTTTACTGATTTCTTTTATTTCAATTGATTTTTTTCTGATTCTGTCTAGTAGCTAAATAATCCCAACGTGTTACATATCTGGCTGTACCATTTGAAATTCGATTTGAATCAAAGATGGAAGATTTTGAGGGTTATCAAATGATACATAGTGCGATACAGTTAAAACAAATTATTGTTGATGTGAATTATGTTGTTTTTCTATATAAATATTTATATATTGTGCCACATACCATGCACGGCTAAGCCTAGAATCTATGCGAGATTGATACTCGGTGTCATTGCAGGCACGAGCATATCCATTAGATAGAATTAGACATGGCATACATCTAGACATGAGTGAAAATATAGTTTGAAAGCATTTGAAGGAAAGTCTTGTAATAGAAATAATTTTCATTAGTGTAAGTCATAGAACTTAAATCACTAACAAATTAAGGATACGAAGGTCAAATTGAAGCATAACTAGTTATCTATTTATGAAGCCTCTAAATATAACTGAGTAATAACTTAATGGCTATCATTGGCTCTTCATTGAACTCATCAACTTTAATGAAGGTATGCCATCATGGATGCTATGATTCCTTTTTCCTTGAATTCGAATTTCGCAAAATCAAGAAGACATGCATTAGCAAAATTGTTTTCGTCCACTAGCGATCGAACTTCACAACTCTTTCTTGTAAGTACTAGCCCCAGATATTGTTGACCTCATAAATGCAATTTGTGGAGATACAGAATTGATCGATTGGTTTCAATTCAAATTCTTTTCAATTTGGTATGAACGAATTAAAATATTTTTTGAAAAATGTTTTTCAATATTTTCATGTTTGATTCGCTTACAATTTTTGGAAAATGTTTTTCAAATCAACTCATTTTCCTCAAATTTAAGGAAAAGGATTTTCCTTCAAGAATTAAAGAAAACGTTTTCCAAAACTTTACTTCATCCTTAAGTTACAATATTTTTTTCTTACCCTACCTCGTACCC